GAACCGACGCCAGATTAGGATCGAGCGGCGCCGCCCGTCCCACGAGCAGCGCGCAGGGGCCGTGTCGGGACCAAGGGGCAACACTCGAGCGCCCCGTGGACGGCGCGCCGCACAGCAGCCAGCCGACGTGGCCAGCTTCGCTCAAAGATTAAAGCGTGCAGGGTCTGCCGAGACCGTCGCCGCGCCCGCATGACATCAAACATCGTTCCTCCAACTCGAAACTCATGCATCAGCTGATTCGTACCGCGTGCGCCGAACGATGCGTCCGCTCTCCAGCCGGCCGTGTTTTCCGAGCGACAAGCGCAAACAGCGAGCGCCGGCAGGTGCGGCTTCGGTAGCCCGGCTCCGGCTTCGGCGGGCCCGGTCGCCCGAAGCACGGCCGCCAGCCAAGTACGGAGCCATCGATCACAGCCGGGCACCGCCGGCCCGCCGGCCACCTCCCGGAAAATCATTACAGCCACTCGGCTCCGATGAGTCCGCGCCCTGCAACTAGCCGCCTGCAAAACAACCGCGCCGCCAAAAACAGCTTTAATCGGACGTGGAATTTCAATAGTTCTGGATCGGCAGCGGCGACAAAACAGGGCGGCGGCAGCGCGACTCCCCTCCGGCGGCGGCCTGGCGCTCGCGCGGTCCCATAATCTCATTCAGCGGCGCACCCAGAGACAATACGGTCCGACAGGACAACCGACATTACCATAGAGATTAATTGGTGTGGCGCGGGTCGGCGGGAGCGGCCGGGCCGTGCAGCTAACATCGCCTCGTTCCGGTCAGCTGGGCGGGCGCGGCGCCGGCGGCGGCCGGGGCCGGCCGGGTCACACAGGACGACGGAGGGAGCGCCCGACCTCCTGCTGCCCCCCCCCCCCCCCCCCCGGTCGGCACCGGTTGCCCCCTTCCCCTCCCCTTCCCCCTTCCCGACGAGCCCGGACAGACCGCTGGACGGGCAAGCTCCGCCGTTGATGATGTTGATGCAAGCTCGACAGACTAGTAGTCTGTCGAGTAAACAAACCGCAGCCTAGTAGCGGGAGGTCGTGACTCGGGTCAATTTGCAAGCGCTCATTTGCCGTGTTTGTTGAGCGCTGCCATGTTTACAAAAGTTAATTTGCCGGGCTGTACGCCGAAACACCACGATGCTTCCATGACACGACTCTAGCTTGAAGATCGCGGACGAAGAATCGTTGTCAGTTGTAAGTTGTGAGGGCCTGTTTGGCAACATCATAGGAGGGTAGCAAAGCGCAGCCGCGGTACTACCGATGGCGCGCGGACGCTGCCCCAGAGACGGGTGCGGATTGAGCGCACCCATATTGCAAACCAAGTGCTCTGCCTTTCAGCCTACCCGAACCCCGAAAACGCAACAGGTAGAGCGGGCGCGCCCGGAGCGTCCCGCCCCGACCGCGGGCGCCGGCGGGCGGTCCCGCCGCGCCTCCCTTCCACCTGCAGCGGCGCGTCACACGAGCGACCCGCATACCGGGCCGGGGTCGGCTTACGCTGGCTGCGGCCTGCGCGCCGCGCAGCTGACGCCCCAGACCGAGACAAGGCCGCCACCGGGGCGATTAGGTGCCGGTCTGGACCGCCGGAACGCCGCGGAGCCGCTGCCACAGTCGCCGGGAGTCGGGCAGTCCCGCGCCGGTCGAGCCGGCCCTGCCTACCTGACACGAGGCCGGCGCACAGGAGCACGGCTCGTCGCACGTCCGACTCGTGCCGGTCGCTAATGCCATGCTCAGCGGCGGCGGCGGCGCCGGCGCCCCCGACCCTTCTCAGAACTCGGTCTGCCGGCGACGCTATAAATACTGCAAGTGAGGGCCGCCGCGCTCGCCCCGACTTGCGGCCTCGGCCGGCCGGGCGTCAGGTGACGCCCCTCAAAGGTCAGGGTCGGGGTCACCGCGGCCGGCCGGCGGCTCCCCGGCCGAGCTCGCAGCTGGGTGCGCGAGCCGCCGCTCGTCTGCCGGACGCCGGACCGCATGAGGGCCGGACTCGCGCGGCCGTGTCACAAACCGACCGAGCATCGGTCGGCGTGGCTCTGCCGCAGCCGGTCAGGACAGAGATGCAGACGGAACGCGCGCCTTCCAAATAACGCTCGTCAACGCGACGTCACGACAGAACACTCGGGCATCGATATCACGAAACGTCATCCAGCGACCGACACGCGTGGAAAGTTCGGTCGTGCACCGGACTCAATGTAGGGCTGCCATCACTCGATCTCCTGAGGCGGTATACAGTGACACCGAATCGGAGCTCTGGTCCCCCTGAGGACACCGAAGGCGGATGGGGACCCGGCCCAAGCCCCGTACAATCTCCCCAATGTAAATTGGAGATGAGACGGCCGTCGGCCTGCTCCCATGGAGATGGCGACGCAAGGACGGCCACATGACTTAAACGACTGGGACGATCCCGTACGGACGCCGGTCCGCCGCCCTGCAATGCGAATCGGTCGCTGAGTCGGACTGGGAGCGAGCAAGACCAGGCCATAACCTGCCTTCTCCAAAGGCGGCACCAGTGCCCGCTCTCACTCACTTCGATGAAATCCAAACCCCGCTTTTATCGGGCCCGACAGACCAATGAGACGTGAGAGTCATCGCAGGGCTTCCGACCTGCCCTTGGGACGGCACCAGAGCCGCAGCACGACAGGGGGGGGGGGAGGCAGGTCAGCGACCCGGGTCAGGTGACTCACGCTCGCCCGACGGGATGGGCGGAAGGAGGTCCGTGCGCGGTGTGGTGCACGTCAGCGTGTCGGGGCTCATCTTGGTGGCGTTGGTCAGCAGCGTCTTGCCCATGAGCGTGAAAGCGCACAGGAAGCTGCCCTCTTGCTGCGGGTTCGGCAGGTTGTTGATAGTCAGCGTCAGCTGGAATAGAGGCGCGGTACGTCAGCGGACCTGTGTACTGCCACTGCGAATCGCTGTACCGGGCCAGAGGCCCGGTACAGCGATTCACGGCTTACGAACAGCGCGGCGCGTTGGCACAGGCAGCTGCATCAGAGGCCGACGCGTGGGAGGATCCTTACCACACCACAGAATATGCATCACGATGGCGCACGCTGCGTGTAGGCCGGTATACACAGCTGCGCCAGAAGACCGCGACGGCGACCGCACGAACGACTCCTGCAATGCTTATTCGTCATCCGTGGCGATCACTAACGTCACAGTTCACTGTAGTGTACACGGAAGATGCCCAGGCCCCCGCCCACGACAAACCACGTGGGCGCATCGCTGCCACGCCGCGCCGCGTCGAGCCCGGGGGCCGACGGCGAGACCCGCTGCAACAGCTGCGCTGGCAACATACACCCGCCGGCGCCGACCTCTGCACGGATGAGCGGCGCCGAGCGGCTCGGCGGCGGCGGTGGGAAGGAGGGAGGAGGCCCCCGGCTCGCGCGCGCCTCCCCGGACTGCCCCCCCCCCCCCCCCCGGCCCCGCTGTCCCTAATGACTGCTGGGTCGGGCAGGGCGCGGGTCAGGTTTCGGGTCAGTCGCCAGCGCGGTGGCTGCCGCGTGAACCAGCCGCGCCGCGCCGCGCCGCCCGTTCGTGTTTGTTTACGGCCTGTCGGTGCCGACAAGGCGCCCCAGCTCGGCGGCGATCTCCCGGGCCGAGGGCTGCTCTGTTTCCGGCCGGGCGTCGACCCCGTGAGGGCTACCGCTGGCCGAATGCGGTGGCCCGAAAGGCGCTCTGGGCCCTCCTGTACCCTGTGTTCGCCTGCGGCCCGAATGGTCACAGAAGTTTCCCGCGAGTCCTCCGCTCTCCGTCCAAAGCGCCAGAGCTTTCTCTCTCTCGGCGCTCTGCCCGACGGCGGGGTGGGCGGGGATGGCCCAATGCGGCTCGGGCACGCGGCCGCTGGAGGGTCGTCTCGTCCGGACCCACTCTCCATTAGCCGCGTTCCGGCAAATGCGCCGCATGCAGTCCATTGTACTGCAGCCCGGCGCCGACTGAGTCCGCCAGTCGCCCGCCAGGTGGTTGGTGGCGCCACCTCCGCGCGGGAATCAAGCCGGCAGCGCATGGCGGCGGTGTTCAGAACTGGCCGCGGTCTTTTCTGTTGTGGGTTTATGTGGGCAGCTGATCTGTCTAGTGTATACAATACGCTTTAAGCCGGGAGTGCTGAGAAACGACCGTCTGTCGTTAAGTGAGAAGCCCTATGCAGCCACGGCGCACGCAATAGGCATTCCAGAGAGGTGAACTCCATTAATCATACCATACGGTAAGCAGCCATAGAACGTGAGGTGCCTTTGACGGCCATGCTGGCGAGGCGTGCAGCCGAGGATCACCAGCTGGCCCTGAGCGCCTAACTGGTGCTGCACACATGCCCGGTCTCAGCCATCGCGCTCAATCACGCCCTACCACCTCACACGCATTCAGCCCGTCAGCCTCCATGTTGCCCGGACTCTTCCCAGCCTTCGACGCCCCGCGCACAATCAGCGTGAACACCGGCAGCTCGCCACCCACCCCAGCCGCTCGTCAGCCACACCGGCTGACGGCACCAGGCCCATCAAGTCACCGGTGAGTCAAGTCAAGTCACCGACCAACGGCGCCCGCCAGACGTGTCACCGGCCGCTGTCAGACGGCATCAGCATTCACTGAACGTCATCAGCCATCGTCGAACGCCATCAGTTGCCACCGAACGTCATCTTTCACTACCGCACGTCGTCAGCCATCAATGGAAGGCACCATTCGCCTCCGGACGTCATCAGCCGTCGTCAAAGGCAACGTCGGCAGGTGACGGCAGTCCGCGCCCGAAGACGACGGCGGCCACGGACGCCACACCGTTCCGCCCGCCGCCACCGCGCGCAACAGTTGCGGCCGCCTACACCGCTGCCGCCGCCGGCGTCGGCAGCGGCGCATCAATAAGGCCGGCCCGGCCGATTACAGTCGTTCGCGCCATCTGGCGGCGCGAGCCCGTTCCCACGGATTAGCGCGCCGCGTCCCATCCCGCCGTCAGCCTGGCGACGGAAGACGCCCGGCTGGCCCCCCAACGGCTTCTACGCGGCGTCGCCCTGACCCGTGTTCGGTTCACCATCCAGTCAGCTGGCGCTCCCCGCGGCCGTTCGACCGGACCACCTCCAGGGGCAGCGGGGCGCCGAGACGTCCATCGCCGCTGCCATGGCGACGGCAGTCCGCAACAAACGCCGGCTGCAGTCCGCGAGCCGCCGTGTACGTGTATCGGCCGCCGCCGCCGCCGCCATGTTTCATCACGGCGACATGTCCGTACGGTTTCCGTCGGTTTCCGTCGGACACGATCAGTTCACGGCGGCCGATCCTGCGGTCAGTCCCGACTGCAGGCATGACGTCGCGCCTCCCTCCTCGCCCGACAGGGTCGGCCGAGGCTGGGGGGTGACCTCTGTGGGGACCACCACGCGCCGCAGCCTCAACCCGACCCTACACCTCCGCTGTGCGGCGATGGCCGGCCGTCGCATGAGATTAATAACGCCGAATCGCGCCGAAAACGACTCCATCCGAGTAATGAGGGCGGCGGCGCGAGGCGGTCGCGCCACGACCGTCCCAGTGGCCTGAGGCAGCGATGCCGGCGCTGTTTACCGCGGCCGATGTTTACCGCGGCGCTGCGGGCCGCGTGTCTCGATGGGCGGCTTTTTGTCGGGTCCGGAGAGGCGCTGTTCAGAGGATCCTGGAGCTACGGCCGGCGGCGCGGCGCTGTTTTGGAGGCGCGCAGGCCCCGCTCCTTACGGAACACGTCACCTGCCGCCGACCAAGGTGAAGGAGGCGGCGGCGACGCGTCAGCACCGGCTAAACACAGCGACGCGGCGGCGGCAGTCACGCCAGTTCCACGCCAGCTCCGCCCCTCCCCCCCTCGGCCACCCTCCGCCGCGCCGGGCTCCTCAGGTGGCGGGTGCCACTCTGCCCTGACGCGGGGGCTACCCACCGGCCGGCCCGGCGTCGGTGGCCGGCGCCCACTTCCGCTAGTGATGATTAACTGGAGGCGCCGCCGAGACTCGCATCGGTCGGTTCCCGGAGTCGGGCCGTCAGCCGGCGGCCGGGTCAGCTCAGCTCAGCAGAGCACGCGTGACAGGCCGGGCTCAACCGGTAGCGGTCTCGGTCAAGACCAATAGCAGGCCACCGTTTGGAGCTTCAACGCGGGTGTGTGCGTGGTGGGAGAAGCGTCAGCGATACCCAGTGAGAAGCTTCAAGACACCCGATCGAAAGGACAACCGAAACGGCAGTGAACACCTCCACAGCCTCCATAACCCTGAACAATCACCATGCGCCCTCCCCCGTCCCCCCCCCCCCCCCCCCCCACCATGCCGATTTCACAGCCTCGACACCCTCCCACCCTCCCTCGATCCCGCCCTCGACACCCCACCGTCACATGTCTACCTGCGCCCGTTCCGTCACGGGGCGCGAGCCCTGCTCCTCGAACCAGGCGTCAGGGTTGGCGCCGGCCAGGCCGTCTGGTCGGCCAGCGCGTCGCCTTCCAGCCGCCGCCGCTGAGCAGGCCCTCCCCAGCGGCGGGTGGTCGCCCCTGGCCACGGGACCTGTCGCATCAGCAGCCCTTGAGGAGAAGTCGCCAGGGACGCTAGTGGGCAGTGACGTCCCGCTCCTCCTCCAGACGCCACAGGGCCGGGCCCAGGCGCAGCGGCAGCCCGTGAGGAGAGGTCGCCAGGGACGGTGGTGGGCAGTGGCGTCCCGCTGCTCCTCCAGACGTCACAAGGCCGGGCCCAGGCGCAGCGGCAGCCGAGTCACCGAGTCATTGAGCAGAGTCGTCGACTCACGCGGATTCACATATCGGCACTGCAGGGCTGAACGTGTCCGTGCCCTCCCAGTGGGGTGCCGATGTACCTCGGTCGCTAAGCTTCATAAGATCCTCTCGGGCAAGACCAAATTGGGCAGCGCAGCCTTGAGCTTCACGCTCCACCCACAAAGGCGCCAGACGTAAACAGCCCAGTTATGGACTGCAGCCTCATCTCATCTGAGGAGCCAGGCAGCACCAGCCGGACGCAGACAAAGTCGTCCGGAGCACCTGAGAGAACGATGCCCGCCATTGAAGGGAAAGCGTATCGGCCAACGATACAGATCAACCATGAACATTCGGCTGAATAGTTATTGCCAGCCTGCATGCGGCAAGCTGGCGCTGCGGGGAACCTCTCAACCAGACAAGACTAGTGATAGTGTCTTCTTACGGCACCGAGACAGCCAGACCGGTCCATGGGACAGGGGCTCGGGAAAGCCCATCTTTCTTGTCATATTGGGTGGACTTTGGCTGGTGGCTGATGTCAAATGCCAAATGAAAATGGCAACTACAGAGTGAAGCTTCCTCTGCGCATTGGTATGGAAAAAGCCACAGCCTCCGCGTATCTATCACCTGGCCTGCTGAAACGAGGAACACAACAGCACGAGATGGTGCACCTGGTCAACAGTGGGCAGCGCCTCCCCCGCCGGACGACCCACAGGAGAAGGACAGCAGTGGACAGACATCACTGACCGTGCGCGCCGTGGTGGCCTGCAGCTGGTGCGGCGTCACCGACTCGATGGTGGTGCACCGGTCCGACTTGTAGTTAATCCAGTAGAGCGCGTCCTTGGCCGCGTCCTGGCAGCTAGTCCGCACGCTGCACCTGCAACACGGACGCGCCCTGTGTCAAGCCGCCCGCTGCCCTTCCAGCGGGTACCAGCCGCGGACCGCTGGATATCCGCGGCAGTGCTGGCCGTGCGATCCATCCCCTGCGGAAGCCAGCGGATGAGACCGCCTGCTGCGGGCGTGGGAGACCCACGCTGCCACATCGCCATAGCACCACTGGCGAACCTCCCGGGATCGTCGGCCCCACGCCCCCAGCGCGGGGTAAGTCAGGTCACCGTTCCGCCTTCCAGGCTCATTGGCCGGCAGCCGTCAGCTGGGACAGCAGGACCAGCCAGCCGATGTCCGACGGAGCCGCCGCCGGGACAAACGGCCACTGCAGAACTACGTCCGGCATCAATTAGGCTAATGCACAAGTTGTGAGGCTTCCGCGCCGCCCGCTCCAATGCCGTTAAGTGCAGATTTCGAGAGTCCAACACAGTCCAAGTGTCCGACAACGAGCATAGTAACTGCAGAGCAGATCATTCGCCGCGCGCAATGCTTTTAGCGCCTTTGTCCACTTAACCGCACGGAGCCCGTGTCATGCAATCAAATCGAGCAAGTTCAATATCCTACCCACAAATCATGTTCGCATACATTCTGAGAACGTCACACACGACACGCCATTACCGCGGTAACGCGGCCGTTTCGCGTGCACGCCTAGTGTCAAAACCTGGGCTGCTGGTGCGGCAGTCGCCCCGACCGCCGCCCGCCATCGGAAGACGCCGTCCGGCCGCTGCCCGTCTCAGCGACGGCCATTGGAAACGAGTCCGTCCCGCCGCAAACCGCCGAGACGACCGCCCCGAGATGCGGAGCGACGGCCGCCGCCAGCCGGGCCGACCGCCCCGAGACACGGAGCGACGGCCGCCGCCAGCCGGGCCGACCGCCCCGAGACACGGAGCGACGGCCGTCGCCAGCCGGGCCGACCGCCCCGAGATACGGAGCGACGGCCGCCACCAGCCGGGCCGACCGCCCCGAGACACGGAGCGACGGCCGCCGCCAGCCGGTCCGACCGCCCCGAGACACGGAGCGACGGCCGCCGCCAGCCGGTCCGACCGCCCCGAGACACGGAGCGACGGCCGCCGCCAGCCGGGCCGACCGCCCCGAGACACGGAGCGGCGGCCGTCGCCAGCCGGGCCGACCCAGGCGCCGGCCCAGCGGGTCAGTCTGGCGGGTCAGCCGGTGGGTCGGCCCGTGGGTCGGCCGGTGGGTCGACCGGTGAGTCGCCTGCAGGGCCGGCCGGTGAGTCGTCTGCAGAGCCGGCCGGTGGGTCGGCCGGTGGGTCGGCTGCAGGGCCGGCCGGTGATTCCGGCATCGATCGGCAGCATCCCCGGCCGGCCGTCAGGCAGCGGCCGAGACACGACTCCCGCATGTCTGGCCGATTTGTCCTGATCGGCAAGCGGCGCGGTGGCCGGCTCCTAGGCCGCCACCAGTCGCCACCGGCCCGCCGCCGGCCGCCACCGGCCCGCCGCCGGGTGACATCGACGTGCATCCGCGCACCGGTCACGTGACGGTGACCTGATGTCTTCTGACACCCGGGGACAGACGTCACGTCGACCAGAGGGAGACGTCAGGTCGAACGATGAAGTTCAGGTCATTTGATGATGAGGTTACGATGACAGAAAGGACATACCAGGCCGAACGATGACTCAACTACGGGGTTGCAAACACCAGCAGCATGGGTCCGGTCAAACTAAGGAAAATGGTAACAACCTTAGCCCACAGAGAGCACATTTGTATAGATTAAGATCCGACATCAGTTGAGAGGCTGCGTTCCGGCCAACAGCTGAGGATCTCCGGGCCGGGTCAGCGGTGCTGAGCAGTCCCCGTCGCGGGGGAGCGCGTTGGCACCAGCGGGTCACGTGCCCGCCACACCAGCCGGTCCTCGACAGCCGGGTGAAATTCCGGTCTCCTTCCGGCCCACCGGAGGGAACCGGCCGCAGCCGCCGGTAATGCATCAAGCATTTACATGTTATTGGATTTTTTGTCGCCCAGTTTGACGAGGTAGCTCCGGCCGAGCCAAGCCGAACCCAGCGATTTGAGCGTTCCGGTGAGGCGCCGCCGCCCGACGAGACACGAGGGATACGCCGGGACTGCGGCCGCCAGTGGCCGGTGTACTGCTCCAGAGCGCCGGGACTGCGGCCGCCAGTGACTGGTGTACTGCTCCAGAGCGCCGGGACTGCAGCCGCCAGTGGCCGGTGTACTGCTCCAGAGCGCCGGGACTGCGGCCGCCAGTGACTGGTGTACTGCTCCAGAGCGCCGGGACTGCAGCCGCCAGTGGCCGGTGTACTGCTCCAGAGCGCCGGGACTGCGGCCGCCAGTGGCCGATGCACTGCTCCAGAGCGCCGGGACTGCGGCCGCCAGTGGCCGGTGCACTGCTCCAGAGCGCTGCGACTGCGGCGCACGAAAGCTGAAGTGTCGTCATTGACTCGTCTACGAGAGGCGGTGCATTGCGGAGCTGTTCGCGATTCCTCTCCGCCGCCCAGCGCTCGCAGCATTGTGAATGGCACAGGACTAACAGGTCACCGAGGCGCTCAGCAGCGCACCAGCGATCGAGGCCGGCGGTCGTATCTCCAGCGAACGACGTCGGCGCCGTCCGCACACGGCGCCCGCCGGGCCCTCTGGCCGACTGCGGCGCGTTCGCGCCGCCCATCCGGCCTCAGAGGACCAGCGCCACGCACTCGGGCCGCCTCATCACTATTCACGACGTCTGGAACGAGCGCCAACGCTCTCTGGCACGTGTTGCGTCGCCGCGGCGGCCATCAGCGCGGCGGCGACGTCCGGCCTGCGATGTCGACAGCCGGCCGGCGCAAACCAATCCTGTCGGCGGCGACGGTCGCCGGCGCCAACGGGATCGGTATGGAGAGGCTGGCAGCGCCGCGTCTTCACCTGGCCGCCGCGGCGCTCCGGTCATTCGGCCGACTGAAAACGTGCCGGCGGCGATGTCGGCCGACGAGGGTCCTCTAGGCGTCAACCACGGCCGGCGGCCGACGCGCCGGTAATAAGAGCAGCCGGGGCGACGGCGACAAAACATACTCGAGAAAAACGAGCCGCCCGGCCAAACAGCCGACTATTGTGAGGCCAGCGACGTTCGGTGGCGCGGCGGCCGCAAAACGGACGCGGCGACGTTGAGACGGTGCGCCAGGTCGGCGGCGCTGACGTAACGGAGGCGCACTCTCCACGGCCTGATCAGGCCAGAGCCCGGGAGGCCGCGGAAGCCCAACACTAAGCGGCTTAGTCCATCGGCTGCGCAATTTTGATGAATGAACTGATTTATTGATCCCACGCGGGTACACAGACGTCGGAGGACACCCAAGCACGCCGGCCAGCGGGACCGAGAGGCCCGCCGCCATCGTCCCGATCAAGTCTCCCGGTGCTCGCCAGGGGACGTCTCCGAAGCCGCGCCGGCCGCCTGTCCCCACCCCGCGCCAGGACAACAGCCGCCGGCGGCCGCGGCAAGGTCGCCGGCTCGGACGCGCCGATAATGGCTGAATTAGTGAGACGGCCGGACGCCAGGTCGACGCCCGCGGTCCACTAATGGAGGGGGCGTGGCCGCCAGGAGGTCGCCGGTACACCGCCGGTGGACTCGGCGGCGGCGGCGGCGGCGGCGAACCGCTAACGCGTCGGGAAATGGCGCCGCTTCCGGCCGCCAGGCTCTCCGCTCCAAATGATAGGTGAAGCTTCGACGCGGCCGACCGGATGGCCGATACGTCATTTTCGTATGAGATGCGCCGTGGCCTTGTTTATACCGCACCCTGCGAAACAAACGCGCGTGGGGGCCTATTCGGAACACTTGACGTAGAAGACGGCCACTTTGGATGGATGCATTCGGAGAGCTTTGCGATGTAAAAAGCGTCAGTCAGCAGCGTCTTCTACAAGGATGGCGACTTAAGAACGACCACTTGAAAGATGCCCTGATAAGTAGACGTCAGAGCAGCAGGCGATACAAAACTGATATTGGCTGACAGTTCCGAAAATCGCAGTGCCCAAACTAAAAATCCATGCAGAGAACTCTGGGCGAGCCTGCCGCCACGCACGACCGCGCATTCTCGTTTCCAGGTAACGAGCGTGGCGGAGACGAACCGCTGCCAACTTCCGACCGGCTGGCGAAGTTTGTAAAACACAAGTTCTGCGGCCAGACGGCGCGCCCGCCTCGCGGAGCAGAACAGCATCGCAACGGATGTGTCTGAACGGGTCGAGGTGGGACGGTGTTCCAGGCCACGACACACGATGTTCAGATGCAAGAGTATAGATGACAAATGTGAGCTTCCTATGAACGCTGTGGTAGCAAGGACTGTCAGAATCTCATATCATTTAACAGAATCATGCAGCATGCGCTAAATCCCAACCTAGTGTCGATATATGGACAGCGTGAGCTCTGTGAGAAGGGAAATGACAAATATGCGAACGATGCGCCTCTGTATACATGCAACTGGCAAGAAACGGCACAATGGTACAGAGACAGCTGGGTCATTGCCACAATGGCCGCAGAGAAACACAATGACAGTAAATGGACAATGGCCTGGAATTAATCTGCAGACAAAACAAGCAACTTCTCACAATGCGGCACCGCCGTGGACAAAACTCGGAAAGAAAAAAAAGATAATTACGTTCACTAGCACAAAGAAGAACACGACGCCGGCGTCGACGCGTTCGGGTCACACAAGACGCGCCGGCACGCACGACCACCGTCGTACAACTCACTTGTTCTCCAGCGAGCACCAGCCGCAGTAGGGGTCCCTGGCGCCCAGGCATTCGCCGCACGAGGCGTACAGGTGGCACTCCTGCACCTTCACCTTGGACACCTGCCGGAGGAGCAGCACCCAGTCACACAACCACCGACCGCACGCTCCCCTCCCGGCACAGCGTGCGCGGGCCGCACCTGTCCCCCCCCCCCCCCCCCCCATCTCGGGGCCGGCGGACCGGCTGCCGGGCGGCTACCGCCGTCCCGGGAGCAGCAGCTCTCCGGCGACTCCGGCGGCGGCCCCCGCCCCTCCCATCACCACACCCACGCGCCACACCAGGTCACGCACCGGATCCTGGCTTACTGCAGTCACGCCAGACACGCCAACAGCGCGTCGATCAAGGACCGCATTGGGAGAACGGATCGCCGTCTCCTGCACGCATCGCGCGCCGTTATGACGTCATATAATTCACGACATAACTTTCCGACGGGGGAAATGATCGGTGCCATCGACCGGCCGCGATGGTGGATGGCACCTGTCAAAAGGCGCGGGGAGGGTGGTACATTCGGCCGGCGGCGGTGATTTTCCGAGAGCCACGCACATTCCGCTTCACCCGGTCCGATTCAATTCCGGCGATGGCATCGTCGGAAGACCGCGCAAGGCGACCACCTCAAATGATATCGCTCGGCGGGAATGAGCAGCTCATCAGAGTTGGGATCAAATCGAGGGCTGCCGACATCCCCGGACGCTCCTGAGAGGACGAACAGCAGACCAACTGTCTCTCGCACTCATTTCCGAGAACTTGACAGGTCCGGTTCGCCCTCCGCAAATCACGACAGAAAACAAGGGTGAAGCGAGCAAAGACGCATCCCTTCGGAGTCATTTGAGCAAGAACACTCCGAGCATGGTGGCAGAAACCAGAGCAGCTCCGAGCATGGTGGCAGCTCAGTGGGTCAGCGATCCTGACAGTGATCCTGATCCTACTGATCCTACCGAACCGCGGCAGCGACCGATCCTCTACGCCGGCTATCTTAGTAGCACAGCCCTTCTTTCGCGCCACCATCCCGCCGAACAAGGAGCATAATACCCTCTCCCAGCCTTCATCAGCAGAGCGCCATCGAACGAGGCGCTCGTTGACATCGCTCTCCCTTCATTACCGGGAGCGATACCTCCACTCGAGTGAGCTCGAGTGAGCCAGTCACTCCGACGGACGGCCGGCGCGATTCGCCGCTGCTGGCGTTACCGCTCTCGTCCGGAGCTGTTTCGCTTCCGACCATCTCCGGCGGACAGCCGGCGCGGTCCGCCGCTGCTGGCGCCGCCGCTCTAGTCCGGAGCTGCTTCGCTTCCGACCATCTCCGGCGGACGGCCGGCGCGGTCCGCCGCTGCTGGCGCCGCCGCTCTCGTCCGGAGCTGCTTCGCTTCCGACCATCTCCGGCGGACGGCCGGCGCGGTCCGCCGCTGCTGGCGCTGCCGCTCTCGTCCGGAGCTGCTTCGCTTCCGACCATCTCCGGCGGACAGCCGGCTCTCCTCTCCCCTCCGGGCATAAATCAGGTCGGCTGCCGCCTAAATCAGCGGCGCCGCGCACTCGGACGGGTTTGCTTTATTCGGGCCGTTGTCGGACCGTTGTCGGGCCGTTGTCGGCCTGCGCTCCGCCCCGGCACGCGCCCGTCGGGCCACCGGCAACATGAGAGCATAATAAATGCCCGGCCGGCCGCCGTCGCCAGCTACGAGCGCCCTCGCCGGCCGGCATCGAAGCAGACCGCCGCCTTGACGAGACACAATCAGGAATATGGAGAACAGAGCGCGGCACGATGAATTCAGATATGGAGATGCGCCGGTCGCCGCATAATCACGCCTCTCGCCGCGACGCCCAAATTACATAGCCGTCCGAAACGGCCGTCTCAGCAGTGCGCCGCCCGCTCTGCGTCCCGGTGCCGTCCGCCCGGCGTCCGCGGCCTGCCGCCCACTCGCCCTGTCTCCCTGGCCGGGAGCCGCCATGTGCCACGGTTCCACGGAAGCGTGCAGGCTAGCTGACTGACACCTGGGCGGCGGTGGGGCGAGCTGGCGCTCCCTACAGCGATACCCAGCCGCCCGGAGCCGTGACGCGCGGCTCGGCGGCGGCTCCAACAGCCGGCCACCACCGGCCAGGGATCGGAGGGCGCGCCCCGCCGGAGGCGCCAGGTCTCGGCCGCCGCCAGCCCGGTGCCGTGTTGTTCCGTGGCCTGCGCGCTGATCGATCGCCGGCCGTGAATGAGAAACGCGCCAGCACGGCGCCCGGGACAGGCCCGTATGAGCGACGCAGCCGCCGGCCGCTGGAGAGGCGGGAGAGGAGCAGCGCCGACACGGGCCCATGGACGCGGCGCCCCTGACGGCGCGGCCGCGGTGTCGTCCGACTGCTCTGGTGTCGCATCCGGCCACAGGTCGACACCCGCTTCGACGGCTCCGAGTCGTCGTGGCGTCACGGACGACCGGTCGCCGGTTTGCCCCTGTCGTTTCAGCGCGGCGCCGACTCGTTAGCGGCTTGTCAGCCGGCTGCTCGTGTCCCCGGGATTACGAAGTGCGGCCGGCGGCGCACGAAAACCGTTACGGCTCGGAGACACCGCCGGCGCACGGGCCATTGCAGGCTTTACGTCCCGTTTTTACTATTGGGAGATACGGCTGCCGGCCAAAGACCCAACCCCAGTTCATATGGGCTGAAAGACGCCGTCCGAGCCGTCTCAGTACGCCGTGCATATATTGGAGCCACCGCAGACCAGAATGGACAGAGGACTGCTGGTCGCAGTGCTCCAGACTTCGGCAGCTCCATATTTGCGGACAGACCGTCTCTAAATCCCGCCGCCAGCCGGCCGAGCACCGCCACAATTTTGACCGAGCTTTACGGCCGCCATCATGTTCAGAACACCACGGGAAATGGTCATCCAATGATACGAAACCATGAGCGGCGCCACGGCCCGTTTCGGCGGCCGTACTCGGGTCACGTCCATTTGAGTGACGTCATAGCGGCGGTGACCTCGCCGCTTCAAATAGCGACAATTAGCGCCGCCGGGTGGCTTCAGCGCGCCCGGCGGCGGCTCTCCGGCCGCCCCATCCGAAACTGTCCACCGACCAGGTCGTCGATCTCGATTACGGCGCCTAATTACCGGGAGTGGGCCGACGAGCGGCCGTGGGTGGACGGGCCGAGAGCGCCGCACCGCCCGATGCCAGGTCGCGGCGTGGCATTGCTCCACGCTGGCCGGCGGCGGCGCGCGCGTCCACATCTCGCCCTGACGCGGCGGCGCGCCCCCTTCGACCGGCACGGCAGGAGACCAGCAAAAAAAAAAACGCGCCGCAAAAACGGCCATTCCCACGCAAATTGGCCCCGCTAAGTACGACGTGAGCAGACGAGGGCGAGGGGAGAGAACCGGAGCAGCACGGAGCTCCGATGAAGGCCGGGCCGACGTGTGGGTCCCAGGCGGGTGATACTCCGAGGGCAGACCTCGTCCCATTGTAGCTCGGCCAGTGGGACGAGGTCTCCCCTCGGGGTATCACCCGCCGCTGCTGCACTGGCGGGGCGAACACACGTGGCTGTGACCATACGTGGCCGATATGACATCATCGGGCAATCGGACTTTATCTGTTAGGGCCCGCCTACAGCGGACGCCGACAGGACGCTTGCCACGCACGGCAGGGAGGACGTAGCCGTGACACTACCTCCGGTGAGAGAGTGCACCTCACCAGAGTCGGCCACCGACGGGCAGACGGAGCAGACACAGCGGACATGTCCCGGTCGCATGGCCCGCACCGTTGCCGCGACGCTGACTGGGTGTCGTCAGCGCTGTCCGCTGTCCGCCGGCCCTGTCCGCTATCCTCCGGCGCTGTCCGCTGTCCTCCGGCGCTGTCAGATGTCCGTCAGTTGTCGTCACGTACGCCGGTCACGACGCGGCGTCATCCATTCGCCGAATAAATCCCAGAGGTAACAGACAGACATACGCGATGATACGGATGGTATCTCGGAATTCGATACCGGACGCAAACATCGCAGGGCAGTCAAGTGCGGGATCGAGGACGGCTGGCTGCAATCATCGACGCCGCAGCCGCGCCGCCTAGCGTCTGCCGAACGGCGCTGTCCATGGCCACGGGCAAGAAGGTGGGTCCACCGGTGCCACCACAAACGCCCGAAGCCCACGCGGCCCAGCTGCACGGGATCACATAGTGCAGCAGGTCAGTTTGTTTTCTTTGTGTCGTGACCGACGATGTCGGCGCGCTTCGCCAGGCATGTAGCTGATTTGTTTTCAAGTGGCTGTGTCGTCGGCGTTAGCCGTTTTTTTAGCGCATGTCAACTGCATGACATCAGCATAGCGGCGGGTCACGAGGCCAGCCTGGCAGGCAAGCAGCAGGGCCCAAGCTGAGCAAGCTGCACATGGCGCACGGCGCTGACTGCCAGCCCACGGGCCCTGGCTCTGCTGAGTGAGCACTCATCCCAGCTGAGCGCTTCCCACGTGCACGTTTACCTGGGGAACACCAACCGCAAACACACCCTACAGGCGTTACGTTTGAGGCCAGGCTTATTCGTGCTTCGAAATGGCGTCCACTTCACGTAGTCCAGAAAAGCAGGCAGGCAGAAACATCTGGCATAAGGACACTCACTTTCCTGAATGGCGGAGTAATCCGTCAGACCATCATTTCCACAAACAGCAAAACGCGATACGCTCCCGGCCTCTGTTCCCCTCCCCAGAAAGCACACCTTGAACCGCCCCTGCGCGCCGTCGCCGACGGAGCGACGCCCGGGCGGCGGTGCCCCACTCGTCTACAACACGTACCGGCTATCGAGCACCCCCCAAGTGCACAAAGCACGACTCGACCCCGGCCGTCTCAGAGGCGTCAACACACGCGTCGGCCGGAGCGACGTCGGCGGCGAGGCCTCACCCAGGTGGAAGGAGACAAGGCCGGCGCGGCGCCTCCTCCTCCTCCGCTGCACCCAACAGCACCCGTCGTGTTTGCGCCGGGTCTTCCGCTTCCCCCGATCGGCCCTTGACAGGATTAATTGCGGGCGAGGCGTCAACTAAATGAGCTTTGCAAGAAATACGACCGACGGATAATTAATCGATAGGCCGAACGGCGGCGCCGACGGTCCTGAGGCCCCACACGGCGGCGCAGCCGGTGGCTGCGGGCTAGGGCCTTGGTCGTGGGCCGCCGGGCGAGCGCGCGGCAAACACGCCGCGCTGCTGATCGTTCAATATTTACCGGTCAGAGGCAAACAGATCGGAGCGCGCTTCCGCCGCGGCGCAGCTCTCCAAACAGCATAGGCCACGTGCGTGGGCTTCTTGACGGAAGCCCACGAACACGGACGCCAACGGCAGGCGGACAGCGGCACCAGAACCGGGGCCAGACGCCCTCTAGCATGCAGCGGGCTGTTTGTGAATGCCCCGCGACAGCCACAGCGTCCGCCAACAGCCCGACCCCGGCGTCGACGGGGTCCCTGACTGGCTTGTCAAGATTGTGTGATCCGACAGCGCTGATAGACCGGTTACTGACGCTCTCGCACCGTTTAAAACATCGGTGGTGACTGACGCCGGAGGGGTGTGGCGTGCAGACGAGGCGCAGCCGCAGAGCTGGCTTTGGTCCGATCAACGGCGCTGGGCGGTATCCGTCCAGTATGCGCAACAGGGTGAAAATCTACTCAGCACACAGGGCCATATCATGATATCCGCTCGTTTGGGAAGGTTGCATTGTTTTTGTTGAGATTGCAAATACCTTGACAATCACGTGCTGTTCTATCAATGTCTTGAGCTCGCGTGTCTGTGCACTTCCTCCGCTCATTTGTTAGTTCGCCATTCGCTGACTCATGAAACACAGTGTGCGGGTGATACATGGTCACAGAGAAGAAAGCGGCTGAGATGATCCACACCGACGCGAAACTTTTTGTGTTGGAAAAGTCAAACAAATAGTCATCAAGATCAAAAATTAAAAAAAAAACAAAGCAATGACACCGCCCAGCAGCCATCGATTATTTCAAACACCTTGCGCTGGTATCTAACTCCAAACAATGTTGCGATTTCAGAACTTGAAAGATCAGATTTGGGATGTTCCCAATGCCCAACGACTTGCCAACTGGTTGCCTCGAATGCCTTCGCGAAACATCGAGACCTGGAATCCGGAAGACTGATAGCTTGACAAGTCGCTGACGCACTACAAAGCCAAGCCAAGTCAAATCGCACAGGTCGAGACCAAGCGGCAAGTGTCACCGGCCGGCTACCGCCACGTTCCGGCCAATCTGGCGATCTCGGCGGCCGACAGCAGGACGCGGCGCCACTCCTCGCGGCAGAGCTGCAGCCCGCGACACGACCCGGCCCCCCGTCCCGTCCCGGCGCCCCGCCAGCCGGCTCTGTCACCGGGCACCTTGATCGAGCCCTGGCCGCGTGCAGTCCGTCTCCAGCGACTCAGTCGATGGCCGGGTCCGCCCCGCCGCCGCCGGCCCGCCGCTGGCCCTCGCGTCCGACCGGCCAATCAGAGAAACTTGAAGATGGCGCCGTTCTGCCCCTTTCAGCACTCTGGCACAATGGACAGTGTGGACCGAAAAACGTTTTCAGCTCTGCGAACTTCTCAGTCGCCCATTATACGGACACAAAGACGCAGGTCCGGCGGCATGCTTCGCTGAAAGGTCAAGGAGCTGTCCAAACTTCGGCTAGAAGAATGTACAGAAATTCGGCTAGCCGACTCTGCTGCCCGTCGCACAGACGTCTCCCGCCTAACATACCTCATGCTAAGAAGCGGACTCTTCCAGACGAACCTCCAACTGAGCACCAAGGCCTGCACATTTTACAAAACTGGCAAAAGAGTCGGCAAAGGTGTTTAGACATTTGGTAGTTTCCATACTGCTCCGCTGGCTTTTCAGCACCGCTCTGGAGGGTTTGCGTCGCCGGGCGGCCGACGCGCCAGGCCGTAATTTTCCGGCCAGTCCGCCCGAAATGGTCCGCCGGCCGGCTATCTCGATTACTGCGCCAATTACGTCTATACATGAATTCACAGGAAAACCTTGGGAAGCAGACAACTAGTGCACAAGCATATTTACACAGCTGGACCGTCGCG